TCTGAAAAATTGATCATGCCACACCAATTTTTGATGAGATTAGTAGCAACAAATATATTGACTTTTGATATTGTTGACATTTGATTTACGACTTTTGTAGTCATCCATTTGTTAATTTGTCTTTCGTTCGGTTCGTTTGTTCATTCGCTGATTCGGCTATGACGAATATCGAAAAAGTAAATAATTATTGCAAAATTTGTATAATTTAAATTAATATGTATTGATTTGGTTTGCTTTTATTTGATTGTGTGTCAAATTCATTGAAACTGGTGGGTGTTCTCATCCAAACGATAATATTAAAAGTGTGTACATTTTTCTTTTTAGTGAAAACGAACAATTCTGACCAATGAAAACTATAGCACTGAAGAGAATGAAAAATGTATACAAATTTATTTGTAGGTAGCACAGATTACTCGTATAAATCTGTTTCACTGATGGTAGAAACGTATACTTTTCGTTCGTAGTTTTGTTTTTACATTTATATCTATGGCGGCAGTACGGAATTAATTGAGTGTGTGGCAATTTGTGGGTGGAAAATACAGGAAAATCAATTTGGTAGTAGTAATGATGTATGTGAAGTGTAGACAAAAATTTGTACATTAAAAAAAGTGTGGCTGATGAAAGGTTTATCTCTTCACATCGATAATTTATTACATGACCGTTGCTTGTATCTAATTTGGTTGGGTTCTTTTGTTTGTTTGATTAATTTTCGCCCAATTCGCATGTGTGCGTGAATTTTGTTTATCCTATTTCTATCTCGTATATGCGCTTGCTTTTCAGTGGGCTTTATTTTATACTCGCCTTCAGTAAATTGAGAATAATAATAATAATGCTTGATTGTGAACAATCAACACAACAAAACAGATGAATTTAGACAAATCTGATCTATTCCCCACTCTAGTTAATTGAAGTGTAACCATGCAGAACGAATACAAGTTGTTTATTAATTTATTTTTTATCACATGGAATTCGCAGAATGAAAAAAGAGAACAAGCCGATAAAAAAATCGTATGATAGCTGAAAATTGGTATGCAAATCAGTTTTTAACCATTTATCTATTGTTCATAGGTATATGCGATGGAAGCGTATACATTTTTATCCCTGATGGCATATCTCTTAAGCTATTTTCGTTGGCTTGATTGCTCTATGTGAGAATATTGCTTCTTTCTTTCACAGTGACACATTCGTTCAACAAAATAAAGTCATGGCGCGGAATCGTATCACATCGAAAGAGCGCTCTTGATGCGCGATGTAAAATCTTAGAGCCCAGTTCGGCAGTCAAAAAATTATCATTAAAAATCGATTAACAAGAAAAAGCATCTAAATATTTTTAATGTGGCATTAACATAAAATAAATATTTAAATAAAATGTGTTGTATATCAATGTAATAAATATAAATTTTAGCATTTTCAAAAACACAAGGCCCGTGTTCTGTCTATGTGACAGAGGGAGAGAGAGAGAGAGAGTGAGAGCGATAGCAGAAAATAGCCAACACTGATACATGGGAATGAAGACACAAAATATAATCATTGTGACAAGTCGCATTGTAGCGCATTGAAAATCATGAACGAGAAATTGGTAGAGAGAAGAAGAGAGAAAAGAGCACCAAATGGACACGATAATAGCAATAACTTTTGTGAAATATATTTTACATATTGTACATGTGACGATCGTAAAAAATTATGTGACAAAAATAAAAAGATCACCATAGCACATTTTGGTCTCTCACACTTGTGTACAACAGAAATATAACAATAAAATTTGTGAATTTATTTGGTACTGAATATCCATGCGATTTAGATTCAATCGGACTGTTACTGATTTGCACTTGAATAAAAGCCCTGTTTATCTTACCTTTAACTGATGCTCAGCGCTCGCGCACCCATGAACACACACACACCACTGCCAATAATTTAATATACTTAGTCGTCAGTTAATGTTTAAAGAAAACATCACATCAATATCAACACAAATAGCCTTCCACTGGCACCATATTTTCTTTTTGTTATTTCGCGCTCAGGTCGTCAACAGTACACTGATGCGAATTGAGAGAACGGCGACGACGATGATGATGATAAAAAAGATAAGACCAAATGATAAAAACGAACGTTGGTCAATCCATGAACACGATGCCAACACCGGAGTGAATCCAACAACGATCGTATCGCAACAAACATCAACTTTCTTCGTGCGTGTGTACACATCGCATGATGCTACTCATCATCTGTTATCTGACGACGACGAAGACGACGACTACGATGACTCTTTAGTTTGTTGTGTGTATACATGCCTTTTTCTCGTTCGTTTGCCTTTTCTGTCTGTTGTTTTAGTATTACACTTTTTTTTTAAATATTTCGAATGAAAGAAAAAATCTGTTCAAGTGCAATTTAGACAAATATCATGCTATGAAACCTGCATTTCATTGCTGCCATTTTTCTTATTGAATATTAAAGTCAATACCGTTTATAATTCGGTGTGTGTGTTTGTTGGCATGAGAGAATTCTATAAGGAGCATGAACATTGAACAGTGTTTTTGTTTTATCTGCATTTGCCATGCAGACTCTCATTTGCATGCCTTTGCCAAAAAAATTGTTTCTTTGACGTGACGCGATTTTTTTGCCGCTGATTTTTTTTCTTCTTTTTTGCTTTATTTCTTGTGTAGTAAACATTTCCGTTTCACATCACAGTCATTCAATCGTTGCATTTTATGTCTGGCTGGCTGGTTTGTCCAACGCAATGTTTGGTTAGATTTGATGGTGTTTCGTTTGTGTGTTTGTTTTCGACCATATCAGCATTTAAGAAATATGTGCATATTAACATGAGGTGCACGAGGTAACAGTGTGTTAGTTGTGACGACTATTCCGCAATTCGCGCAACCACTCGAAACAGTATGTGATATATTTGTTGTACGGGTAAGTGTGCGCGCGTTTTCAATTGCTGGACTTTAGATCGACCTCAAAAGGTCGTCAAAGCGAGATAATTTGTTCATTTTAAATTTATGTACGGTTATTATATTAACATGAGTATCGATGAAACGATTTATGACGTCACCAATATCAATTGATTTTCTGTGGCATCTCATCAATATCGGTGTATGATCTGTCCACAACTGTACATTTCACATTCAACAATGAAACGAAAAGAAATGACGGCCGATATCACATTATTGCCAACAAATGGTTGTAAATTTAATATATCTCACAGGCCTCAGATGACCTCTTCTTACTAATTAACTGAACGACATGTTGTTTATGACAATGATTAAAAAAAAAATCGATTGGAATTTCAATTGAGCGATGGAAAAAATGAAGCGTTTCAGGGAATCCTAAAATTATATTGAGCCGCGACTGTCTGATGTTTTTGTTTATTGTTTGTAAATGTTTCGGTCTCTCGATTGAATGGGGAAAAATGAGCCACGCTTTTGTCTTATCTTTATGTAAAAATGGGTACGATGAATGTCGTGATTAACGGCGCTTAACTTAATCAGAAACTAATCACGTAAAAATGCATGCAAAATAATAACAGTGGCAATATTTTTAATAATAAAACAAATTACAACGTAAACATCGAAACGAGATTTTGATTTCATTTATTTGAGATGTTCGTCTTTTTAACGGATTTTCTTCGATTTGCTCTTGCTTTCGCAATCGAATATCGTTTGAACTTGCCAGATTCGGCCAGTCGATTAGATTAATTAAGAGATGGTAGTGCATCTGGTGACACGGATCACAAATGAAAATAACGCGGTAGTAAAAATGAATGGCATCATTTCAACCTTCACCGACTTAATTAACAGTATCAGACCTTTGGCGCAATGCAATCAGACCATCATTTTCAAGTGAACTTTATACGACTTTGAACATATTTTGTCTGCTTCTTTTTCTATCAACGCAACCCGAATAAAAATTTATTAAACTTTACCAACATATTGTATACTTGGCTAAATGTTCGGTCAAATCTAGAGACTTTAGATTTCTTCATCAGCGCACGAATCATATACCAATAGTAAAAAAAA